AAAAAAAAAAAAAAAAGCGGTACCGGTTGAAATAAAAATAAAGGCCCAACAATAACAAAAAGGGAAAAAGGCGAATTAAAAACGGGCTTAGCGGCAGTGAAGACCCCAGCACCAACAACAAAAGCGGATAGCAGCAACGGCAGCGACAGGATACAGGCCATTTCAGGCGGTACAGTCCCGACAAAAAAAAAAACAGGTGGTACCCAGGAAGCAAGTAAGTGCACCATTTCACTACCCTAAACTTGCACATAAAAATATACATATATTACGTATGTAAATTTGTTAGCGGTTCCCAAGTACGGTAAATTGAAGTCGCTGAACTTCTAATTTACCGCAACTAAAGTCATATCTCCTCAAGAATACATATATCCCGACATATATGTATGTACATAAATAAAAGTATATAATCCCGCGCAATATCACATTTCCCCTTCTCAAAACAAAAAAACCGCCATAAAATATACATACGTAATACAATTTACATACATATTTACCCAATCTCAGTTTCACTGCCCCCTCATATTCAAATAAGTCCCGAAATTTCTACATAGTATGTACATATGTGAGTTCTAGCGTTGCGCGCGAAACAAATAGTTACTAATCCAGATATATACATCAGCTCATTTGTCCCGTACGATACACGTACTTACATATGTACTAATATATACGGGAGTAGAAAATTCCATAGCTACATACAGTACACCGTTTGTTCAGTTCCCCGCTATTACTCTGAAACCACTTGTTTCGGGCATACATATGTACATACTCACTTATACGCACGACCCAGAAGCATAACACACGAAATTGTGTTTGCAATTAATTTGCTTTTAATTCTTGGTACCCGAAAAGGAACTAAAATCGCTTGTCTCTTGTCTCCTTCTTCCACTTATGCCATAGAGATTCCCCCAGTGTCAAAAGAAAAAAAATCCGATTCTGCTACAAAATTTGCGACATACCTACATATAAATATATATATATACATACGTACATATTCAAAAGCCGAAAAGACAAACGGTATATCCATTTACTTACGTACGTATACATAGTACTGCTCGCATATTTATCTATTTCGCTGCGCTCGCTCTCCAACCACCTTTTGCGCTTCCAAAATTTGCAACTCCAGCAAATACACATACGTACACATACGTACACACGTACATATATACTATTGGGCTCAGACGCGCTGAGACAATATACAGTAGAGGACAAGAAAATAGCACCAAGGTAGATACAGTAGAGCTCATAAAATTAGCACCACACAAAAAATTTAGCAAACGTTAAAAAGTAGCGCAAATCAATATTTTAAATTGAAAAATAAGAAGTTGCTGAGTAAATCTTGGTATCTCAAGACAAGATAAAAATATTTTTACGTTTTTCACCCTTTCACTCACGTTGTACTCCGCATTCCCCCAATTACCTCTTTAGAACCCAAAATGGAAAAGAAATCTCCCACTGATTCTGACTCAAGCCTTCAGGACTTCATTTTTGATAGTAATAGGCTAGAGTCATTTTATTCAAAATGGTCCAGCACCCTTATAAGCGACCACACCCAAACGCTTTTAAATGTGAAGTTACAGCAACTTGACAAGTTATGGGATGCTCTAGTAAGCTCATATAGAGCAGTATCCCGCTCTGAGCACTTCGCTGAATCTAGCGGATCAATTGAGCAAAAATATAATAAATGCTCAGAAAGTTATGAGAACTGTAAGATGCAAATTTTAGACGGCTTACAACTTCTCGGGGCGAATTCCCAGTCCCAAACAAGCACCATTCCCACCACAAATTCCATCCCAACTTCGAACTCCCAAGAAGTATTCCTCAAGGTACCACCGTGTGATACAGAAATTTTCCACGGTGGGTACGAAGACTGGCCGGCGTTCAGAGATATGTTCACGGCAGTCTATAAAAATCACCCCAAATTAACACCAGCCCAGAAACTATACCACTTACGGCAAAAAACCAGAAGTCAGGCAGGACAAATAGTCAAACAATTCCCTCTCACTGACGATAATTTTGAACTTGCCTGGGATGCCTTAAAGTCACGGTACGAGAATCGTAGGATATTGGTAGATAACCAATTAAAAGCGTTATTCAATATTCCCCCCATATATACAGAAAGTGGTGAACAAATCCAAAAAGTTCAGTCCACTATCAATAATTGCCTCTCAACCCTCTCAGCACAAGGAATCCCGACCAGCAATTGGGACCCCATCCTTGTATATTTATGCTCTTCAAAACTGCCCAGTGAAACTCTATCTCTATGGGAGCAATCACTCAGCTCACGGAAAGAGTTACCACTTTGGGCAGATATGAGCAAATTCCTCACAAGCCGGTATGAAGTAGTAGAAAGACTTAACACATATCGGCCAGGAAAACCAAAGCTTCCCCACCCTAATTTCACCCCAAGAACGGGGAATCACAATTCCACATTTATAAATAAAAATAGAACTCAGAATTTCCATGTCGAGCTAAATCAGCCGATTTCGTGCAAACTCTGCCACTCAAGGCACCCCATGAAGACATGTGTGAAATTTAAAGCACTATCCGTATCTGACCGTTTAAGATTCGTAAGAGAGAACAAGTATTGTGAAAATTGTCTTTCTTACTCCCATTTAAAGAGTGAGTGTACAAGTAATTTCACTTGTGTATACTGTCAACAAAAACATCACTCTCTTTTACACTTCCCGCAAAAGACCCAGACCCCCCAACCCAATTCAAAGCCCCAACGAACAACGAGTCAACTATCGACTCAGACTAATACGGATACTGAAGCGCCCACTTGCTCAAAATATGTGACGCACCAACCCCCAGAGAAAACCGACGTAAATAAAGTGTCGTCTCATTTTTCGGCTACTAACGTCACAACTCTCCTTCCAACGGCGATAGTACCTATATATTGTGATGGCGAATATCATAATATTCGCGCTCTGGTGGATCAAGGCTCACAAAAAACGTTTGTATCGTCCCGGATACAAAAACTCTTGCGCTTGCCCATGATAGATGCTCTATTCGAGATTTCTGGAATGGGTGGAATGGTGGTACAAAATTCAAAAAAAATCTGTGAAATCACACTTTGCTCAACAGATCGAGCCCAGAGAATAAAGACCCAAGCTATTATTTTGCCCCAGTTGACCCATTTCCTCCCTACTGCAAAAATCTCTCATATTAATTTAGAAGAGATAAAACGATTAAGGCTCGCCGATCCCAACTGTTTCACCCCAAATAAGATAGATATGGTAATCGGCAGTGACCTAATCCCCCGAATTCTCCTACAAGGGCTGCAACAAAACATAAGCGGAAGTCTCATAGCGCAGAATACGATATTTGGATGGATTCTGAGCGGCCCAATCCAGGAGAGAATCTCCACCTTTACCACCCAGGTAACCGAACCCCAGGATGAATCTCTAAACTCACTGCTGAAGAAGTTTTGGGAACAGGAGGAAGTAGCAGTCACTCAACCCCGTTCCAGTGAGGAGGAGTTCTGTGAGGACCTGTATCGTCGCACGACAACCCGGCAGGCAGACGGACGATATACACAGACGACATACAGACACAATGGCTTTAGGTCACTCTCGACTAGCAGCGCAGCAGCAGTACATCAGCATCGAAAGGAATCTGGAGAAAAAACCCGACCTTGGCAAAAAGTACTCAGAGGTTCTGGAAGAATACATCACCATGGACCATATGGAGCCCACCTCATCCCAAGAAGTCATCAAAGACGGTAAATACTTCTCCTTTTATTTACCGCACCATGCTGTCATAAAACCCGACAGCAAAACAACAAAAGTACGCGTAGTCTTCAATGCCTCCAGAATATCCCACTCTGGAAACTCCCTCAATGACGTATTACACACTGGCCCAACCCTTCAAAACGACTTGATGCTCATCATTCTCCGATGGCGCCTCTACAAGTTTGTTTTTAATGGCGACATCGAAAAGATGTACCGCCAAATTCTTGTCCACGAGGAAGATCAAGACTTCCAAAGAATCGTCTTTCGTAGGTCTCCAAATAAGCCCATAGAAGATTTTAGGCTGAAAACAGTCACCTTTGGCGTCAATTGCGCTCCCTATCTTGCAATCCGTACGCTTCATCAGTTAGCGCAGGATTGTCAAGACGAATTCCCGCTCGCCAGCAATATCCTCCTACGCGAAACATACGTGGACGATATTCTCTCAGGCGGGCATAATATACAGTCCACTATAAGCTCATTATCTCAAGTTAAAGACGCCCTAAAATCTGCAGGCTTTCCACTACGAAAAATCACCTCAAACCACCCAAAAATCCTGGAATCAGTCCCAGATTCCGAGGTCCTTGATGTTGATTTTCTCCAGTTTCAAGACACTAGCTCTACTAAAACTCTAGGCATAAAATGGAACGCGCTAACGGACTCCTTCTCTTACACGTACGATCCCGTTCCCGCTGCAAATTCGAGGACAAAACGGCAAATATTATCAGCGGTAGCGAAATTGTTTGACCCGGCAGGATGGCTAACGCCAATAATGATTTCCGCCAAAATGCTCCTTCAGC